CTTGCTAAGGGCCAGTAAGGACACAGTGCCCTCTGCTGGCAAGGGAGAAGCCTACTCACAAACATGGGGGCACGGTACCCCTATGATCACATAGGTCACTTTTACTAAGTGGCAGGCCAAGCCACCCTGGGGAACTGCACTCACCTGGGTGTGGGCAATGACACGGATGACTTGGCAGTACTTTTTCATGCTGCTGAAGTCCTTCTCCAGCTGCTTCTTGCCATCCTCATCCTGCCATTTCTTGCAGTACTTGGTAAAGGCCTTCTTCTTAGATTTATGCCTTCAGGAGCAGAGCAGAGTTGGGGAGGGGGCCGGGTACAGGCCTTCATCACCCCTCCGAGGGGTGAGCGGAAGACACACTGGCACCGCGTGGGGATGGGGCTCACTGCCGGCTTCTAAGGAGCCTTTTCCACCGGCAAGCGGAGCCTGGATGGAGCTCATCGGGCAGAGCCGAGCGGAGCTGAGCAGAGGTCCACAAGGTTAACTTAAGTTACAAACATTCAAACAAAATTCTTGCTCCGGGGTGCTAGAAAGCAAGCGCTCTGCCTTGGGGGAGCACCCATTCAGTGATGGAGGAAATGGGACATTCCAGCCAGGGCCAGAGGCCCTTGCCAGCCCTATAGGGGTTGAATTATCCTGCTACCTCTCATGGTTTCTAGTTGGACTCCTTAACCAACTGGGTCCTCAGCCACCACCCACTAGCCTGGACTCAGAATGAGGGTGTCAGCTCCCAGCTGAAGCCCAATGGCTGGCCAAAGTCTGATCGCAGGTATTTTTCTGTTCAAGAGACAAACTAAACCTGAAACAGCAGCTCCCTGCCTGCTACAGAGCTGAGAAACCATGCACACACTGTTCCCTGCTCTCCAGCTCCCAAGCTAGGGACTGCAGGGCCTCCTCCCTCACCAGTTCTTATAGAAACGCCTCTTGCATTCATCACTGATGTGCTCAGCGAAGACAGTCTTGAAGGTCCGGAGGCCTCGAGGGGTTTCCACGTAGCCCACAATGCCCACAACCACCATGGGTGGCGTCTCCACAATGGTTACAGCCTCCACCACCTCTTTCTTGTTCACCTCTGCAAAGAAAGCAGTAGTCAGACTTGGCAGGAGCCCAAGCAAGGGGTGTTTAATGTTTTCTAGGAAAATGCAAAATGCCCATTTAGGCCGGAAGGGCAACTGGGCCCCACACCTGCAGTCTGGACACTCAGGGCTGTCCTTACTACCTACTTCTCATTCAAAGTGCATTTATGTTCTTTAACTTAAAAAATATCAGGACCCTAGATAACCAAATACCTGCCCAGCTTCAATTCTCTTCTACAGAAACCTCTGGAGGCAGACAAGATTTGCTATTTATCTGGAAAATTCAAGTGTCCTAAATATAACTGGGACACAGAAATAGCTCTGAGCTCAGTTTAGAGTCAATATCAACTGTCTAACGTTAATGTCTCCATGGCTCAGCAACCAGTGCTGTTAGACATCTCTAAGTAGAAAACACACAGGTAAGTGGCCGTTATTCAAGCTTTTAGATGAAATGCACGTGAACAAGTAAAACATGAATGAGGCACTTCTTATTCCAGCCTCAGCAGCTCCAACCCCACATACTAGTGTTACTTCTCTTTGCTAAGGCTCCTGGCAAATTTACTATGCTCTGAAAGCAATACCCCACCCCGCACCTAAAGCCAACAGTGCCGGCCATCTGTAGCCTTGGAATATTAGTCTTGAAGTTGTCCGCTGTCACAGCAGTTCTGACAACCTGTAACTCCAGCTTAAAAAAAAAAGTCTGCCCTCTGCTAACAGCTTGACTCCATCTCTCCAGTTTCCCTCCCCCTCCACTCCTATCCCCCAACTTTTAGGAGGCCTGTACATACTAGATCCTGGCCTGTCGACTTCCCGCACGATGTGGGTCATGCCAGCCTTGTATCCCAGGAAGGCTGTGAGGTGGACCGGCTTAGACGGATCATCTTTAGGGAAGCTCTTAACCTTCCCGCGATGCCTGCTGCTGCGCTTCCGAGGCAGGAAGCCGAGGGACCCATGTCTGGGAGCGGAGAACTTTCTGTGAGACTAGGGGAAAAAAAAAATCACCGTCAGCACCAGACACCCAGGAAACCAAGTAAAAAGGTAATTATCTCTTCCAGGCTCGCACACGTCAAGAATATTTTTGTATTCGACAAAATTTAAGCTGAATCTTATTTCAAATCCTCTCAACCTGTAAGAAAACGAGCCATCCGTTTTTTTCTCTACCACCACACAAAAATACACTAAGTAGTGACACTAAAAACTGCTTAACAGGCAGCTTTATGTGCCAATTAGCAAGGTTTTGACCACTAAAGAAAAGCACTCCAGGGACAAATGCTGGGTAGCAGCTAGCCAATACTACGCTATGGGCTGCCTCTAGCGCCCGGACACTAATTACACCGACACACGTAGGCCGGAGAACTCGGCAGAGCCAAATCAGAACATGACAATCAGCACACAGTTTCTGTCCGCCCGTCAATAAGTTCATCATCTGTGGCTTCTGGGAGCTCCAGAGGCCTTCGGAGTGCACAAGCGGTCCCAGATATTTCAGGAGGACTCCACAACATTCTCCTCCCGCAAGCTTACCTCCCAATGAGAACAGTGCCGAGAACCCCCCCCCACCCAAGGTCCTGCTATCCAGACAAGCTGCTTAAAGGCCCTAATCCCAACTAATGATGGAGTTGGTGAGATCAAAACTCAGCAATGACTCATGGCTTTAAAAATGCCGGGCCTCCAAGCCTGCTCCCACCCTTACGGCCTGTCTCTGGCCGACCTGCAGGCCCAAAGCCAGTCCTCCAAGCGCTCTTCTACACAAGCCTCTCGACTTTCCAGAAAATAGGCCTGACTGAGGCCCCCGCTGGGTCGCCTTTCCCCTAGAGCAAGCCCCCGGCGCCGGCCAAGCTGGGATGGCGGCGATGCGTCCCGGATCCAGCCGTGCCGACGCCGGTGACAATGAATCGGACGCCATTACAATACATACCATCACACCATCAAATCCCGCCGGTAGAGGTCGGCTTGTTGTCGGTGTCCGCTATATAAAGTCAAATCTGGCTCCGCCCCTTCCGGCGTGCGAGCGCGCCCCCGCGGCAGACGTCGGGTCGGGGGGCACGTACCGAGCGCCATTTCTACGCATGCTCTTCCGCGCCTAACTTTCGTTCCGAGGTGGACGTCAGCTTCTGAGACCGAAATTAGACACTCTACGGCGAGGGGTCGGGTTCAAACTTAATGAAAAGCCACGGAGGCGCGGGCTGAGGGTGTGGTGTGCCACAAGTCTACGGCGTCCGGCAGCAGCCAAACTTGATAATAATGAAGAAAAATGGCTGCGTCGCTTTTCTTCCTGTGATATGCAGCTATCTCTGGAATTGGCGAGGAAAGACTGAAACCCTTGTTTCCTGGCTCCCACGCTGGTTTTGCCGCGACACCAACTTGCCTTTAATACCTTTAATCTCGGGCATCCTTCCCTCAAGCCCTGTCTCTACCATTTCTCCCATGCTAATGCAGTGGCCTGCACTTGATTCTGAGAGTCTCAGGAGCGTCCCAAGCCTGCGGAACGGCCTCACGACCTCGGGTCATGCCGAGTCCAGCTGCCCAGCCTCCCTGAGCCCCACGCCTTCCAGACCTCTGCATCAACGAGGACTTTCGCTGATCTCCGCTTGGGCTCCAGGGTAACTCGGGTCCTGACCAATTCCCTGCCTACAGGCTCCTCCCTTACGAATCTTTTTTTTTTTTTTTTTTTTTGAAACGGTGTCTCGCTCTGTCGCGCAGGCTGGAGTGCAGTGGCGCGATCTCGGTTCACTGCAACCTCCGCTTCCGGGGTCACGGTTCAAGCAGTTCTCTTGCCTCAGCCTCCCGAGTAGCTGGGATTACAGGAATGCGTCCGGCTAATTTTTTTTTTTTTTTTTTTTTTTTTTTTTTTTTTTT